ATATGTATGTGCACAACTGTATACCTGTATACGTAACTAGACAGATAGATTCCGTCTGACGAACGTTTTCCATTGACCCGGTACGTTCGTGGAGTATGTCTTCGTTTTGCTCTTACTTGCCCCATCAGTCTTTAATTCGCTCATCGCCGCGTCAGCGACCGATATCGAACTCTTCATTTATGACCAGTCGATTATCGGTGACCGACGTTGCTAACTTTGGCGAGAGCGTAACCACGTGCTGGTCGAGGTCTGCGATCGTAATTATAGTAATCTAACAGATATCGGAAATTGTCAAGGTGGATTTCATCCCGTAAACGTGAAATAAATTCTAACGGTGGAACGTGCAAATAATAATAAAATTGTTCTACAGAGGATTATTCTATTTTCAAAATCCACTATGAATTAAACCATCAAAGCATCGCCACTTTTCTCTCCCAATTTACATATTTACTCATATTTTCTCGATACATTTACCTGAAATTTGTATACAGAACGTGCGATACGTTTAATTTCTATGAGAATTGGCGTGACACTATTTCGCGTGCATTTAATTGGAAAAATATCATTCTCTCTACTGAGCACTTCTAGCGTTAACTGCCAATTAAAAAAATTCTCTTTTTTTTCGAAATACAGTAATTGAACAGTATCTTGTTTTACGGTTTGTCTAAAAAAGAGAATGAGGCGAGTGAAAAAATTGAACATGCAGTTGCTGGTGCACTACTATCAAATAACTGCATATATTTTCTTGTCTGTCTGTTCGGTACAAATTTTGCAATTTATTTTAAACTAGCTTCCCGATAAGATTTGAAACTTTAAACATGGCTCAGAACTGAATAGAAATGCGCTACTAAAAAACTGGAAAAAATTATTTAAATAAAATAGAATTTTTAATATACCACGTTTTTGAAGCGAACTGGAAAGTATAAAATAATTATAAAATACTTGTAAAATTTAAAACGAAAAATTTGAGGTGCAATATTCATGCATCAATTATCTATTTCGTTTGCTGCTCTCGTTTCGTTTCGTTTTTGCTTCGAATATCGTTTTGTTCTGTCTGTCCACCTTGCATGTTTCCATCTTTGTTGGACTTTGATCGCTGTCACATATTATATCTACTTCGCGTAATTACATCTTTTCAAGAAGAATTTATATTCATGGTAGCTGGTCATTGTTGAAATCAATGTTACGTAACTACTTCTATTTCTTATTTTTCCGAAGGACATTTCAAGTATTCAGATCATTGATCACATAGTAGCCCAAATAAGCTGCGAATCTTCACAGATAATGATCAATCTAAATTACTTAGAAAAAAGAAATGTTCTCCAGCGTGTTTCATGAAACGTGCGCGTGAATTCTAGTTCGGTGTAGAATTAATTACTTTCTTCGTCTACGGATACTTTTACTGCAGTAATAACGGGAGAAAGTGAAATGCTTTCTTCTATGCGCCATTACGTAAAAGAAGAAATTTAGATTTTTATGTGACATAGTCTTTACACAGTAGTGGAAGATTAAAATAAATAATTTCCATTGCATATTTCAACTCAGAACCAACGGTAATGAACAAAAATATTATAGTACGGAATGTCATGCGTCATTGAAAAATATTTTTAAGTTCTTGCTGCGACAATAGTTTTATTCACAATTGCAGCGACTTCGAGAGTTAAAATTTTATTCGACTCGCGAAGCGACCAGTATACGTGTAATATTTGCAGAGTGGCACGTTCTAGAAATTGTTATGCATGAAGGATTTAAAAATGTTGCCGTGAAGGAACCTGAGAGAAAATTGTCTACAAAAAATAAAAGTGCAGATTCTTCACTATCGTACAAGAGAGGACACGAACACACGTTGCGATTGTTCAATAGAACGTGGATTTATCAATGTTCGCTTTTTCAAAATCACTGAACGCCGTTTATACGAATATGTAAGGTTCAAACAGTAGTTCAACCATACAGATAACAGTTCTATCACTTATAGATCTCGCGACATGGCGTGGTAAACCTTGGTCATGTGATAGAACGAGCGAGGCAAGGATCATCATATGCATACACACACACTGCTTTTTCATTTATATGCCTATGTGTACGGCTGCACAATTAATATAAAGTATACAAGATAGAATGCGATTATTAATGATCCCGTAAACATCGCTGATGTCTATTTGATATTACAATCTTGTAACTGGCATCTATGTGTCAAGTTATAATCGTATTTCTCTCTCTCGGCGAGCATTTACGGTTCACGCACGATTCACGGATTCTCGCCGAGTCAGTTTACCACGAGCCAGCGGTTGGTGTGCGGCATAAGACGTGCCGGTAGAATTTTCGATCGCTTATGTCATTCGTATTGCCGGAAGGCACGTAGCTCTTTTTTTTATTTCTGTTTTTTCGTTGAACAAACGTCGTTAACAATGGCATCAAACGTAGTCAATTTTTACAACGGTAAAACTGTGTTCATTACCGGCGGAACTGGATTTGTGGGTACCACTTTGATCGAGAAACTACTGCGAACCGTGCCCGACATAAAAAAAATTTATCTGCTATTACGACCGAAAAAGGGAAAAGAGATTCAGGACAGATTGGTGGAACTTCAGAAGAATCCGGTATGGAAATCTAACTCAAAGAGTCGTCGTCATTTTGCTATCACGATTAGATTTTCGAAGGCACACGATAACCTTTGCGCACGTTACATTTTACGATAACGTGAATAGTTCCCATTATTTCTAATAAAACACAACGTTAATGATCTATTTATGTTGTATTTATCTGCTTTTCTTTGAAATGAAACTTATTTATATTCGTATAATATAATATAATTTGCGATAATCGCTAATAATTTTTATATTTCAATTCGTTTGATTATAATTTTCTCGAATTAATAATTCGATACTTCATATTCGAAACTGATTTCTTGATTCGTGGAAATTAAACTTAAATACTTACTAATTGTTTTGTCACGTGAAGAACACCGTGTATGTCATTAACACCTCGAATGAAAGGAGAAAGTTCTTACATGTACTTAGACTTGTAAATTAGAAACCCATTCGTTCATACCTTCTTTCGACGATTTTACCGATTTAAAAATTGTACTAGATTTTTTGTCTGAAATTTCATCTTAAATTTTTTTATTTCGTTGTATCAGGTATTCGATAGATTGAAGGAAGAAAATAAAACAGATCTTTTTAAAAAATTATCTCCTGTGGCTGGAGACGTTGGAGAAGAAAATCTAGGGCTCTCTGGAGCAGATAGATTGACACTCGTCGAGGAGGTCAATATTGTTATCCATAGTGCGGCATCTTTGGATTTCGAAGCAAATTTAAAAACTGCTACGAACATTAACTTACTAGGTACACGCAGAGTTGTACAGCTCTGTCAAGAAATAAGAGAGCTCAAGGTAAACCACTTTTTACACTAAGAATAGTTTACTGTATTCTTTAACAGGAAGCATCTTCAATTTGTTGAACATAGTCACATATACTTATTAAATTTTTAGGCTTTGGTACATGTGTCCAGTGCATATGTGAATTCAGTCCTAAACGATGTGGAGGAATATGTCTATGCTGCACCATATGACGTGAACGAATTACTTAAAATTGTGGAAAAACTGGACGATAGCACTTTAGAGGCAGAAACACCAAACATTCTAAAAGATCATGCAAATTCCTATACGTTCACCAAACACTTGGCTGAACATGAAGTAAAAAATGGACGAATTCCTGCTGCTATTGTGCGTCCCTCAATGAGTATGGGATCAGCTACGAATATTTCACTTTTGAACGTACGTAGTTATGGTAAGAATTCATTGTAAATTGTATCCTGCATTTGCAGTAACGGGAGCATGGAAGGAACCTGTTCCTGGGTGGACTATGTCAAAGAATGGACCACAAGGATTTTTGATGGGTGCCAGCAGAGGTGTCGTAAGAAGATTGCCAGTAGCAAAGAATATAGTTTACGATTACATTCCTGTTGACATCGTTGTAAACAGTTTGATTACTGCAGCCTATGCTGTTGACCGAGATGGGTACGATATTACCATTTGCATTAAAAATTTATATGGGGACTGAGTCAACTTCACATTCTACACAGATGGTAATATATTTATTTGCAGTGGGAAAGAGTTGCAAGTGTATCATTGCACCTCCAGTACACACAATCCATTTAGATGGAGCTCTATAGAAGGAAAGATTAATTCTTACTTACGCAAATATCCGTTGCGCAGTGCAGTTTGGTATCCGCATCTTAAATTGGTATCTTCGATCTTCTTGTTTAGAATTTCTGCATTTTTCGTGCATTTCATTCCCGCTTACATTCTGGACACAATTACGAAACTTACGGGAGGACGACCGATGTAAGTGTAACAAGATGATGATCTGTTTAATATTACCTTTCGGAGATCTCTGTTCGTATTATGTATTATTTTATTCAGCTTGGTACGATTACATACGAACGTTAATAATTCGTTGGATCGTTTGGCGAAATTTATCTTTACCGAATGGATGTTCAATAACCCTCGTACGTTGGCGTTACACAACTCGCTATCAGAGGAAGATAAAAAGTTATTCAACTTGGATATTAAATCGCTGGTATGGGAAGACTATTTCAATAATTTGACACAAGGTGTTAGAACGTATTTGAGCAAAGAGTCACCGAAAACATTGGCCAAAGCGCGATCCAAACAAAACATGTACGTGCCAACTTCTTATTTTTCCTCATAACAAAAAATTTACGAATTAATTATTTTTCTCTTTTTTTTATTTTTGTAGATTGTACATCGCACATGTTACCATGCAAGCCGGAATATTGCTCCTTGCTTGGTGGTTAGTTAAAGTTATCTCCGCCAGTACTTGGCTCAAGACTGGTATGGTCGTTCCGATTCTTACATACATGTTTCTCTCAAGTCTATAAAGACAGCCGCAGACAAGTTTCATTTTCACCTGCGCTTGATGAATTGAAATTTTACGCCATAAATCTAAACACGATACTATTCTGATCTGTTTTATTCTGTACTGCGTTTTATATAAAATAAATACAGTTTATCGAGAGTATATTAAACTACATTCCATACACTTTACACTGAAGATGGTGTTGGGAAGTAATTTGTTTAGTTTTGTTTTTTATTACGATTGAATATTTAATTTTCTTGCATAATTCAATATAAGCGAGAATTATAATATATATACACGTATAACTTATAACAAACATTATCGAATAAAAATGTGCCATTTCTTCAATTGCATTGTAATAAAGAAAACAGTTTTTTTTCTAAAAAGAACTTTAACCAATTCAAAAATTAAAATGAACTTTGTATTTTGTTGTACTTTGTTATAAACGTTTGTATCAAAATTGTAAAATCTATTGTTTAGTAATAAAATTGGTCTTTATACAACATTTAATTCGTGTACCATACCTGTACATTATTCACGAACTTTCCGAAACTTAATTGTTAATTTTATAAAACATGCGACGTCTCTGTAAACGTTCATTCAGTTGACTTTACTGAATCCTGTTTCATGCAGTCCATTAAGTCGGCATAATTATCGACGTATTTTATCAAGAAAATGTAGTTTTAAATTATCTTTCTATTTATAACAACAAATTTTATTAATAGAACTTAAAATAAAATTATTTATTCAAAATTAAAAGAACAAAATTTTTTATAGTTTGCATTTTAACTAATCTCGAATATAATTAGCAGAATAATGAATCTCTGAAATCAAGACTGAATAAGTACACATATTATTTTCTTCATCATCCATTGACTATACCCTTCAAGTTCAACAAAGAATATTCGCTTGCATAATTTGGAAAAATAAAATAATTGATTACTATCCTCATTTTTACCAATGAAGAAACATTTTGTATTTGCAACCAATAGAATAATAGTGAAACTAGAATGCGGTATTAAAAATGTGTAGAACTAAATCCGCAGGTTTCGATACCACTGGGACAACTGTTTCAGCTGAGGAAAGGAACACGTACGTCACCAACTAAAACGAAGAAATCGAGTGGTCATTAAATCGTCGTGGAACGATATGGACGAAAGGGAGGCTGGGATTACGAAGTAACCGCGAGCCGTCTGAAAAATTCGCAACCTGTTTTTATCGCACGGTATTGCGTTAACGGAAACAATTACATGTACATATATACATATATATATATATATAATTTAATCAGGCTGCATGCGCGATCCAGGCTTCTCAATGCACGGCGATTCGATATACCGGTTCTAGGTTCAGGAACGACCCTGAGACAGCATCGAAGACAATGACTGGTTTCTACAAAGGAGTTCAGTCATCGCGCGACAAGTAAAAAGGAAATACCTGTACCATAACGGTGCGGAGGAGCGGGAGTTCTGGTTGGATCGAGCGCGTGTACTGTGATGTCAGTCAGTGATCGGGATCGGTAGCTTATGTCTCGTTAAAAGGGGGTTCCCGATCTCCCGGTTAATACACGCAATCCTCTTTCGATATCTCAGCTCGCGGGACGAAATACGAATTCCCGTCAGACGAGTGTTGACCAGGCCAGCGTGCACCACGGCTCTAACAAAGCTACCAGTGATTGCGACCGGTGGTCTCTTATATTTCGTGATCACAGTTTCGATACAATTAGTACTTTTTCTCAATTGATTTTCCTCGTCGCTTCATTATTTTTATTAATACAATTTTGACGCGATTTAAAAGGAAGTGTGCAGTCGTATTGCTGGAGTCAGAGCTTGCAGGCCTTTCGTCATAGGTATGTACATGAAGAATGCGCGGAATGCTATGTTCTTCAAAGAAAAGAATAAGCTTTTCACATTTCCTCATAGAACGTTTCTCAACGCGTAATTAAATACCTGTTTAACGCTCATAACAATTGTTTAGATTAAACGTGTGTGTGTTTTTTTTTAATCAAACTCGTGAAAAATACAATAGCGTTTTCCAATTTCGCTACTCATGCATTATAAGGGATTTCCCTTGAATGTAGTGTAACGGCAATAAACTAGTATAATTCACTAAAATCGCATTTTCAGTATTCTATTAGTCTCGCATTAGGCAAAGTAAAGTTAAAGTATGTGAAATGATACGTTTGTCAAAGAAACGAATAAGCTTTTCACATTTTCTCATAGAACGTTTCTCAACGCGTAATTAAATACCTGTTCAACGCTCATAACAATTGTCTAGATTAATCGCGTGTGCGTGTTTTTTTAATCAAACTCGCAAAAAATACAGTAGCGTTTCGCAACTTCGCCACTTACGCATTATAAGGGGTTTACCTTGAATCTAGTGCAACGGTAATAAACTATTATAATTCACTAAAATCGCACTTTCAGTATTCCATAAGTCTCGCATTAGGCAGATCGTAAATATTGAATCGAAATAAAGTATTAATCGGCTGAGGTAGCGGAATTCTGTCAGAGATTTAGTGCACAATATAAATGCATAATGATGCAACAATAATGGTTTTTCACGTTGGGAAAGCATGGAAATGCTCGCGTCCAATTGATGCAAGTGAAATTTACGGTAATCGATGATCGATGCTGCGGTGGCACGTACAAGGAATTCGTTTTCATTCTTGTGTCACTCACGCAATGATTGAAAAAGCGAAATCGGTATGTCTAACTGCAATTCCTCAAGTGATTCTCGCAGACTTAAACATCCAAGTCGCATCGATGATTCGTAAAGTAAAAGACCTGCATTTTTAATCAGCTTCATTAATTAAATTAACAAGTATCAAAAGTGATTTAGAAAAGTGAAACCTCAGAGAAAACGTTATGATTGCACTTTCGTTTTGTATCACGTCCAAATCGAACTAGAAAACGTTAATTCGATTGTTATTCAGACTGCTTACTAGCTTCTGGGTTTCTTAGTTAATAATATACAACCTTGTTACTCTGATTTGTTGCATAATTAAACGTACACATCTGTGTACGCATGGCGACATTGCGTGAAAACAGACAGTACGGAAAATTCTTTTAATTGGTGTGTTTGTTTAATAATTGAATAGAGCACGCTTAATGATAATTAAATTGTGAAAATAGAGGTAATAACATCTTATTAACTACGTTCAATCTAACGACCAAGTGCGAGCATGTAAATACGTTGCGTATAATTACTAAATTACTTTTTGATGTAATCATAAAAATAATTATGAACTAACCACGTGCTAAATGATTGTTAACGAGTTGCACAGTGATTCCGAGAAATCTCGCTACTGCAATACTTACTTTAGCACTTAACTAGTACATTGTGTAAGGTTTAAGCTTCCCATAGTTCACTAAAAGCATACGCTTTTTAAGACCGCGTAATTGCAACGCAATACCTGATTAAACATACAAGTATACGTAAATGGATTCTCGTAGACTCACAACTGAAATTTGATAAAAAGTGCCGAGAAGTCTGTCCGCCTTTGTCAGCCTTAATGATATTCAGGACACGAATAGTAGCAGACGAGATTTCTGAAAAATCCTCGCAACACCTTACGAATAGCTGAATAACGAGAGAAGAGGATCTCCGGTACATCACGTATCTCTGTTATTCCATGAATAATGATGGTACGCACGGTTTACGTACGCCTAAGTAGCCTCGGTTTGATTTATCGAAGATTCGTGATTGAGTTATGCACCTCGCATTCCGATTCTATCCGTGCCACTACACATATGAATGAATGAAAGTTAATTCTTATGCAAAAAATTACTCCAAATCTATTTTCAGACGAACGTACAACGTTGTAACATACGATTTAAATACAATTAAACCGATGCTAATACGATTTGCTGAAAGTCTATTTTCATGTAGCAACGCAGGATAAATATCTATAAAAAGATATGCAAATAATTGAGAGAAAATACTTGGTAGGCTATTGACATTTAAAAATGCCAAGTGTCGAAACTAGCGTCAAACTTATTTAAATAATTCTGCGAACAATTTCGTTTTTTTTTCGAACATTTGAAGAAAGAGGAAGTAATCAATTAGTAGTAATGCGTTATTGCATGTAGCTATTGTATGATAATGAAACGCAATATTAATCGAGTTTCATTTACACATGTAAATGAAATTGTAATTTATCGTTCACTGATAAACACAAAATTAGGTCGCGCGCTTCTAGTACACATTATATACATATGTAGTACATATTATTGATTTTGATAATTAGATTTTAAGAAATATTTTCTGTTCTGTTATGAAGTGTTTGGAATTTATTATCTATTAATTGGAAGACGGTGTTAGAATTGTTTGTTTCAGTATGTTTGAGATGTATGAAATCTTTTTCAAGGGTGTGTATGCATGCACTGACGTTGCACAACGTCCTCCACTTAGGAATGGCTAACGCTTGTATAATACGCGCATGTAATTATCCCTTTCGAGCGCATCGAACCGCTTTTTCTCCTTTGTTTCACCGCAACCTACCACGAAAGCAAGTCTCATTCAAACGATGAAATGTCTTTAGAAACTCGAAAGAATTTGCATCAGAACTCGCAGTTTAATTATAACAACGTTCTGCTAGTTTAATCTAGCTAAGATTATGCAAAAATTGTTGCAGCAATTATGGATATACCGTCAATATCTGAGTGGTTTAACCACCGAAACGTATTTGTCACCGGTGGTACCGGGTTCATGGGGAAGGTTCTGATCTACAAGTTACTCGATAGTTGCAACAATCTAGGGAACGTGTTTCTGCTGATCAGGAAGAAGAAGGGGCTTGATCCTCAGGCAAGGCTACAGCTGATACTACAGGTAAGACTCGATCGTTGCCCTCGGGAAGGACGACAGAAAAATATCGTGTCTCGCTCTTACGAGAGCTGTAATCGAAATAAAATGATCTTTCTTACGCACGACCCATAACTTTACCAGGAATTCCGAGTGGGATGCGTAACAAGAACATGTTGAAGTTATGTTGAAAAGTAATTTGATAAACAATTTATTAACTTAATGTTAAATAATGGTACTTAATTCATTTTTCATGTTCTGTTATTAAAATAATCGTGTCTGACAAAAAATTTAAATTGTCGCTAATAAGGAAAAACTACAAATATTCAACTTGTCACTGCATTATTCAGCAGCCGCGGGATGTACCATTCCTTAATGGAAATGAATTAAAAATTCATAATTAACATATTCAATACGCGTCTCGGTTTGAATTGGACAAAGATTTTTATTCAAAGAAAGATGTATGCTTATGTTTGAAATCAGTTTCAACGAAAATAAATACCGATAGAACTGCAATCTATCACGAAAAAATTAAGCAGACAATCAAATCTTGAAGTTCTCGCATGGAAAATAGATTTATTCTAGCATAAAGAAATTCCACACTGTCTGATATGGTAATATGAATACACGTGTGTTCTCAGAATGTAGAACCGTATTATGATATTCTGAATTATAATGTGGAGGTCGTTCATCGATACTCATGGCAATGAATGAAAAATGTTTAATTACATATTGTATATATATCATTGATTTATTCAAAATTCTACGACGAATTGTTAAGTTGTATTACGCGACCGGTTTTATTAATGCGTAATAGGTAATTATTGTGTAAGAATTTCTCTCACATTGGCTGTCGATTCCGGTACAGAAGGAACCTTGAATTTTTATTCATCTCCGATTCACCTTTCTCTGAATCAGCTGAATCAGCTTTTTCGAAGGTTAATTTTGAAGGCCCTGTCGGTAGAAGTTACTTCTAATCCCATACCACGTATTAACACGTTCCTTTTATTCCTAATATCAATCATTCAATTCGGCTGTTAGTTCAATGAAACCGGATAAAATACGACGAATCGAATTTTATGATATCTTTGATCGACGAAAAATTGACGAAGGAAAGGCGAAGAGATCATTGTCGACCTCGTAGTCAAATGTAAATTGACTGTCGACATTTCTAATCCTGCCGTTTCTGCTAAAAATAAACATTCATAAATCATACAACCATCATGTTACAAGGCAATTATTAAACTATTTCCTATCTGATAGAAGCCAGATATGTTAAATTGGCAGGTTTTTCTACATCGTCAGGTTGTTCTACAAAGTAGCACGATTTTTATGTGATTTTTCCTGTCTACGTTTTCCCAGTAACAACCTGGTTGAGCCTATGACTGACATTGCACAACAAGATCGCGCAAGATCATCTATTTACATTTAGTAATTCGATAAATTGCACTTAATATCCATGAACGAAAGTGAAGGGGACGGACGATCATAAACGACTCTATGCAACAATTTTGCCGCGTACAGCTTGGTGGTGTGTCCGAAGAAATCGCTGAGAATAAATATGCCATTCAATGTAAAAAGCCACGACCACGCGTGCACGTAAATCGTTAGGCCACGTTCCTGCAAGGTGAATAAGGTCCTTTCTGCTCGCGGTCTAGCACGCATATTTTCGCACGCATCATGCGAAAATGATTAGACATTTCGAAGCAATTACGACACTTCGGCGTGCAATTAAAGATATTAAATGCATTAATTTGATAAACAATTTATTAACTTAATGTTAAATAATGGTACTTAATTCATTTTTCATGTTCTGTTATTAAAATAATCGTGTCTGACAAAAAATTTAAATTGTCGCTAATAAGGAAAAACTACAAATATTCAACTTGTCACTGCATTATTCAGCAGCCGCGGGATGTACCATTCCTTAATGGAAATGAATTAAAAATTCATAATTAACATATTCAATACGCGTCTCGGTTTGAATTGGACAAAGATTTTTATTCAAAGAAAGATGTATGCTTATGTTTGAAATCAGTTTCAACGAAAATAAATACCGATAGAACTGCAATCTATCACGAAAAAATTAAGCAGACAATCAAATCTTGAAGTTCTCGCATGGAAAATAGATTTATTCTAGCATAAAGAAATTCCACACTGTCTGATATGGTAATATGAATACACGTGTGTTCTCAGAATGTAGAACCGTATTATGATATTCTGAATTATAATGTGGAGGTCGTTCATCGATACTCATGGCAATGAATGAAAAATGTTTAATTACATATTGTATATATATCATTGATTTATTCAAAATTCTACGACGAATTGTTAAGTTGTATTACGCGACCGGTTTTATTAATGCGTAATAGGTAATTATTGTGTAAGAATTTCTCTCACATTGGCTGTCGATTCCGGTACAGAAGGAACCTTGAATTTTTATTCATCTCCGATTCACCTTTCTCTGAATCAGCTGAATCAGCTTTTTCGAAGGTTAATTTTGAAGGCCCTGTCGGTAGAAGTTACTTCTAATCCCATACCACGTATTAACACGTTCCTTTTATTCCTAATATCAATCATTCAATTCGGCTGTTAGTTCAATGAAACCGGATAAAATACGACGAATCGAATTTTATGATATCTTTGATCGACGAAAAATTGACGAAGGAAAGGCGAAGAGATCATTGTCGACCTCGTAGTCAAATGTAAATTGACTGTCGACATTTCTAATCCTGCCGTTTCTGCTAAAAATAAACATTCATAAATCATACAACCATCATGTTACAAGGCAATTATTAAACTATTTCCTATCTGATAGAAGCCAGATATGTTAAATTGGCAGGTTTTTCTACATCGTCAGGTTGTTCTACAAAGTAGCACGATTTTTATGTGATTTTTCCTGTCTACGTTTTCCCAGTAACAACCTGGTTGAGCCTATGACTGACATTGCACAACAAGATCGCGCAAGATCATCTATTTACATTTAGTAATTCGATAAATTGCACTTAATATCCATGAACGAAAGTGAAGGGGACGGACGATCATAAACGACTCTATGCAACAATTTTGCCGCGTACAGCTTGGTGGTGTGTCCGAAGAAATCGCTGAGAATAAATATGCCATTCAATGTAAAAAGCCACGACCACGCGTGCACGTAAATCGTTAGGCCACGTTCCTGCAAGGTGAATAAGGTCCTTTCTGCTCGCGGTCTAGCACGCATATTTTCGCACGCATCATGCGAAAATGATTAGACATTTCGAAGCAATTACGACACTTCGGCGTGCAATTAAAGATATTAAATGCATATGAATTTTTTAACTGTACTCGTACGTACTTTTATCCCAACTAGTGAGATGAATTGATTGAAATAATTGTTAATTATCTGATTTCGTCAGTAACTCTATTTAAGTTCTTGGAACCGATGTTAACGTACACGGCTTTTATTAGAAATATGAATCAGCTATGATCATTTGGAATTTAATGAAATTGTTAATCCTCGAATTGATTGATTCTATGGATACTATAAGAAATTTAACAGCCTTTCGTGCGAAACTCTTCTGACGCTCACTTATTTAAATACTATGTGGGATAATGCCGGTAAAAATTTGATGAGTGAAAGCCTAACGAATACGTTTTTGTTATAAATAATGCGGGGACATGAATCGAATACAGAGATCATTTAGAATGACGCGAGCGGAGTTACGCGTACGTGACACCGATAACTGTGTGGGCATGCAAACATCACGGGCCGATTTACGTATAAAATGTATTTTCTTTTTATTTCACTCGGAATATACAATATCTGATCAAAACTTAGTGGTCAATAATGATGCTGAACATTTAATCACGACATGCAGCGAATTCTAAACATGTGATTTGGTTTGTCAACGTGATACTTGGTAATAACAATGATTAATCAAATCTATTGAATTAAAGAATAATAATTAGAAAGAACATTGTGTAATATTAAAAAAATTGATTTTCTTAGAAGAACAAATTATCTTTTTTTTCTTCATTACATGGATGACGCTTTTAGAAGAGTGTCCTAATTAAACTACGTATTCAAAATTATGTAAACTAATATAAAAATTCAAAATTAAAATATTTGATTCCAATAATAATGGAATGCATATTGATGTACTTTATTTCTTTCTCAGCAAGAACCATTCAAAATCATCAAGGAAAAGTATCCGGAGAGATTGAAGAAACTCATATTGGTACCTGGCGAGACCACGTCGGAGGATCTCGGTTTATCAACCGACGATAAGGCGAGACTATTGAAAGAGGTTTCCGTAGTCTTCCACATGGCAGCAAACGTCAAGTTTGACTTGTCATTGAAAGAGGCGGTAAATATAAACACCGTCGGCACGATGAACGTTCTAAATTTCGTTAAACAGGTAATCACGAATCCTCGCTTTAAAATTTATTTTTTTATCAAAACCAACAGAATGTTTTATAGATTAATAATCTTCAATCGTTTCAATTATTGAAAGATTATAACGTGATTTAAAAACATTTTAGATGCCGCATTTACAATCTTTCATCCACGTGTCCACCTCGTACTGCCACTGCAACGAAGATGTGTTAGAAGAAAAAAGTTACCTCTGCTCGATGAAGCCCGAGAAGGTAATACAAACAGTAAACGATATGACTGATGACGTTCTTAAAGTGATGACGCCAAAGATATTACAAGGACTACCGAATACCTACGCTTTTAGTAAAGCGCTTAGCGAGGACTTGGTCCAGAGGTCTGGTCTGCCTGCGGGCGTAGCTAGACCTTCTATAGGTAAATACTACTTTTACTTCGTTAAACAATCCCTAAATCAACTTTCGACTACTTCAGTGAGTTAAGAGCAATAAAAAGATGCAATTAAAACAAATGTAGAAACAGATTGGGAAATTTCTGATGTCAGTGCTACGGGTTAGATGAAATCATCGAGGAGAAATTATTAAAGTGCCAGTTCTGTCGCATGAAAAAGTTCGGAATTTTTTATACTCTCTAAAAGTAAAAACCAGAAAGCAAAACACTGGTCGATGCTGAACCGACCGTATAATGTATTTGTTAAAAAGTAATTGACGATGAATGAACTAATTAATCGATTAATCTTAAAGTATTCGAGATAGAAAAAAATTGTATACGATCTTTTTTGCAGCAAACATTTCTCGAAATTTTGAGAAAGTACAATTTATTTGCGCACAACTTTTCCATAAATAATCTAACAACGAATTATAATATTTCAGTGGTCGCATCCTGGAAAGAACCAGCACCGGGTTGGGTAGAAAATATGAACGGACCGACGGGCTTGATGGTCGGTGCTGGAAAAGGGGTGATCCGCACGGTGCTGTGTAATTATAATTATTTACTGAACCTGATCCCTTGCGACATGGCGATCAACGCGATTATCGGGTTAGCGTGGAAAGTAGGGAGGGAAAAACCAGAAGAGCCGATATTTATGAACGTCACTAGCGGTTCCGAGAACCCGATTTCTTGGGGATATGCTGTGGACACCGGGAAAAAACACGCTACGACATATCCGTTCACAGGTCAGCACACAACATGAATATTCACGTCGATGTGATTGCGTTTGTTTCTTACTCCACGAATTTAAATAAATGTTCAATTAGACGAGGTTCTATTTTAATTCTAATTAATTGGTACTTTAAACATTTCTATGCAGTTGAAATAAATAAATCTTGTTTCAGGAGTACTTTGGTATCCGGGCGGAAGCGTCACCACGTTAAAGTTCTATCACTGGATACGTGTCCTCTTTTTCCACCTACTACCTGCATATTTCTTAGATGGGCTAATCGTTTTAACCGGGAATAAACCTTTTTTGGTGAAGGTACAACGCAGAGTGAATGCTGGTATCGAATTAGTACAATATTATACCACAAAGCAATGGGACTTTCGGTAATTAATTTTCCATACTTAATTACTGCGTTCATAAAAAAAATTGTACCTGTAGAAGATATGAAGAATCGTTGCCACGTATAGAAATAAACAAAATATTAAATTTCAGTCTAATAATTGCTTAACTCTTAAATTCTATTAATTATTTACTCCGTTTGATGCTGTGATTTCAGAAACGACCGGATGAGACATTTACAGGAGGAATTAAACTCATCTGACAGAGAAGAATTTTTTATGGACACGAAATCAATATCCTGGGATGATTATTTATGTAGATATATTCAAGGCACAAGGAAATATTGTTTAAAGGATGACCCTTCGACTCTACCTCGCGCGCGAAAAGTTCTCATGTGCCTGTACTTCGCGGACTGGCTCGTTAAAATTGGTCTAACTGTGCTGTTCTTCTGGTTTATGTATTCTTGGATAATCCGCCATCCGTCAGAACTGACTACCACGACTATTGACGAAATCTGATTAGCTTTAGATAAAATATTAGTCTGAATAGATGTACCTAATAAATATTATCTGTATGTGTACCTTGTTGACTTATGCAGAGTCAGTAAGAATTGTCATATGGAGTAACCGGTTTAAGAATTTAATTAAAATATATTGTATATGAACTTATTATACAAAATTTTTAAAACTATTTCTAACAAACTTTATAATAAGATTAATGACTATAGCAAAATATTAAATGATGTTTCTTATTGACCCTGTATTTTGATACTCGTACAAAGCTTTTTTTTTCATTTTCTTTAACAGCTTTCCAACAAGTTTCTCATGCGCAACGCGTGTAATTATAAAATAAAGAGATTCAAAGTTAATTTGTTTTCTTCTTTTCCTTGAAACAGTTACACAACGTTGTTATAGATATTCTAGGTATATAAAAATATGTTTAGAATGTATATTATTCAAATTAATTGACAGTTGAAAAAAGCTGATAGTGACTTCGATTTATTTTCTTCGGCACGATATAATTGAGCGCTGACATTTTGAAATTGCGAAATTTCTACTTTCTCGCTTGGACATACGCGTATTTATTTTTTTCCTCAACGTTTCTTTGCTATGCAAATATTTGAAGCAACATTGCAAACAGAGACGAAAAAATTCACGTGGCCGAAAAATTACCTTTACTCAGCTAATAATAACGCCTATACTAACTGATATGTATACTACGACCAATATCCCACTCTGAATGGAGAATGTATTCGTGCAGTGCAATAATTATGTTGTCCTGCTATCTAATAGAGTTGTGTATTATCACCTGCTGCTGTCCAACGTAGTTAAGTACAAATAAACTCAAGAAATACGGAAACGTATCCATGGCTTGTCAATATTTATGGAAGTCGAGATATTAGTACTTAACGATGTGCTTAAAAATTCAGTTCTAAATTATATCAAATGCAGATGTTTCTGTCATTTCAAATATAATTTCTACTGCACAAAAATTGAATAAAACTTAGGCTTATCTGCGTCGTTTAGAAATGTTGGGCCATTAATTTGTCCACTTTTTTTTATTGGTATATACAAGGGCTATTATAGTAATTTCCTTACAGAATGCAAAATTGTTTAACGATTTAATACTGCATCAGACATGTATATAACATATTTTATAAAATCATGAAATATTCCATTCAATTATTTGAGTTACAAGAATGTCGAATCTATTAAATGTTGCGTTAAATACCTCCCACATATTACCGCGAACCAGCTGTTACATTTTCTCGCGTGCATTGCATAAAAAAAATAACTAACCGATCGACAAATGTGGAATTGCGTAAAAACACCCATTCCTACTTAATGAGCACTGACAGGTAAAAATGAAAACTTAATTATAAAGAACGATGTTTAATACCATCATAAAAGTGAATATTAGAATTTATATTTATACTACGTAACCACTTTATAGTTTCTTACGAAAGATTCGGCAACAGGAAAACGTACAACACGTTAAGTATGAATCATATAGAATATTGAAAATAAAATAAATTCTACAATTATTAAAAAGTAAAACAAATACATTTTATAAATTGTCTTCCTAAAAATTCCCGATCGATTGTGATTTGACAAGAAATTATTATTATTTTAAATATGTCAAACAATTTTTAATAACTTCTGTAAATATAGAAAGGAGGTTTGTTATAAATTCCGGAAATGTAAACTGCGACCGTTTCTAAGTCAATATTAGGACAGTTTCGGGCTTCTGTCGGTTGTTAAAGGGTTCGATAAACAGAAAACGAAGCTTGACTCGAAAAGTCCATTTCACTCGAAATTCAAGAAAACTCTTGGACTATGCAGCGAACGACGCAGCCGATCCTCAAAGAATGTCGAAATCGCCCCGCCGTCGCGCCGCGACCGCCGCCGACCACTTTCGTACTCACGTGCGCTCAATTCGTTCCCCTAACGCTCACATTTTCACTCTCACTTTCTAAGTTTGGCTCCGGCTTCTTAATTCTTGGTACAGGTGTGCTTGCACGCTACATCGTACCAGAGTTACGTACCTGCACGCGGCACGTGCGCGCACGCTTTTCCATCAATTTTCAAACGCATCTTAACTCGCATTAATCAGCACGTTAGAAAATTGCTTATTCTTAGTTTTCAGTCACCGAAACTTCTTCAGTTATTTTCTTCATACACAACAATCGAATAATAGAAATAGACACAGTATTTAATATTTCCTTTCACGAGTTTGATAAAATAAAATTAGGTAATAGGTAATGTGGGTCAACGAGTTGCTTGGAGAGTACTGATTCAATTATTTCGAGGAAGAACAAAGCTACTTTCACTATTTTCAGTGGTCAACATTTTTCTCGGCCAAGGATCCAGCCAATTTCATTTTTCAGGGAACCTGTCCATTCGAACAAGGAAACTCGCCCATTTATCGCTAAGTCAGTCGTTTCGAAATCAGTAGACTTGTGCGGATTTGTACCTTTTTTTGCAACGTAATTAAGAAAACGAGAATCAAAGAATAAGTTCGTTCATACCTAAATGTCAGTGAAATACATTCTTGATATAAATTGAACAACATCAATCTGCAAGGAGCAACACTTCGTGTCAGGGACGGTCAGTACGACTAAAAATATTTGAGGTGTGTAAAAATACTCAACGCGAAACTTTAATTTGAAATGCGCATTGACCAGTGCACGTATAAATCAATCAATTTGAATAACAAGAAGGGACATTCAATCAAAACTTTCCTACGCTATTTATAGTCGGTTCTGATATCAGACATGAATGAAATTCCCTGTTGTCGCCTTTACTCCGGTTCTCAGGTAATTTCGAAACGTCGGTTCACCAAAGGCGAATCGAATCCCCTCCTCCCTTCACCCTGATTCAGCAAAAATTACGAACAATTTTATTCAACAAGACGGATTCCCGTCAAGAGAAATCTTCAGTAAAATTCGATGCAATTATGCAACAAATTAAAAACAGAACAAAGTAACTCTTTAATAAGAAATCGTATACTCTTAAATGTGCGTGCCAGATTTATGAGATGCATTCTAATTCTACTTATTTCTCCGAATGGTGATAAATAATTTCATAGTAATTACAAGTTCTCACAATTAGACATTTTTAATTATTAAACAGATCTTTTCCCACTGCTTAATTGGCCATTTACTTAAGTTATTAGGCACTTAACATCTATCAAGTAGAATAAATATATAAAATAAGCCTGACCTTCTTGCGTACATGCGTTCTACGCAGGAATTTGCATAATCAAATACTCGCATTAATCGTGCAATAACTGTTTGACTGACGAACCCGTCTACGTATGAACACTTTATTAAATGAGTCACTTGCATCCTCAATAGTACTTCTGCCGTATGATGCTACTTCGCTTTTGAAAAAAAAAATATCCACGCCGACGCCAAGCATCGCTAGTGTTAAATTGGGCAACTCGAGAAGGAGAGAGTTCAACAAGAACTGCTTGTACCTCCTTTCTACGTGTTATATAATTTTGGACAAAGGGCTCGCAAGTTTTAGCAATCCAACGAGATTTTTTACAATTGCTCAATCGTTCATTTATCAAACATGATGTACTAATGTTTTTCTTACAATTAGATCTAACGTCGATTTTCATGTCCTAATGATTTGATGTTCAAAAGAGATGAGTATATAGATTGTGGATTTTTATATAAAATAAAACTTGAATTTATGCACATGCGTTGTTCATGTTGTCTGCACATCAGATTTTCCAAATATTAATTATAAATGCGTCTGATGGTATAGCGTCCAAATTTCTATATCCTCAAAGTGGTTCCCCAAATATCGCGATGGCGAAACGTGAGTGAATAAAAATTATTACGTGACTCGAGGTTGTGTGTGAACAAGATTGAATTGCTCGCTCGGACAAACTGGAGTGGGGAACAGAGGCCGGACGAAAGCGAAACACGGGCCTGCATCGAGCACCGATGATCGTCCAGGAAAGTAAGTATTGGGCCAGCGTTATGCTTTCTCAGTCTGCAACGAGTACATCGTCGCAGTAGGACCGATCGACTCTAACCGGCCAGCGTGTACCGTCGACGATCGTGCATTCATTTTCGTCGTGCCGTTCGTTCGACCTTTCTTTGGACTCACGGTCCACCCCCGGTGCCGATAAAACGCGGGACCCAACGGAATTTTCTTACCAGTTTTCAAAGTAAGTGTTGGAGGCTGCGAGCTTTTTTGAACTTGTACTTCAAAGAACGATCGCGGGTTGCAAAAATGTATATTATAGTGATTTGTCCAGAAATGTCTTAGTGTCTAATTGGATAAAGCAAGAGAGAAACGAAGAAGACTTGATTTATTTTACGGTGTGTTTATCCTTACTATGCTAATGATTTCAACTCTGAAATCAGTAGTATTCTCTAGTACCCCTAAAACTGTTCATTTCTGCCACTGAAATATTTAAGTATTACAAACAAACAACATATTCCAAACCGCAATTATTGCAAACTGGAGTTTCAGATATCCAATAATAAATTCAAGTCAATAAATGCCAAACTTTCTAACATAAGTGAAGCAATTCTTGGTAAGAATGCTAACTCTATACAGCCTGCCTATTTGTATCGAACATTGAGTACTGTGATTTTAATATTAGATATCCGTACTATCACTGGATATGGGCATATTGTCAGCTTCTATTATATTCAATGAAAATGCGATATGTTTCACTTTTTGCAATAAAAATTACAGAACGGCGGTCCGAGTGGCTGTACACGTTTTTTCTGTCGATTAATTGCCGAGCAATAAGTGTCAGGTATCGAATATATAATTTGATGCCTGGAAACTTGCAAAGTTCAGCATAACATACAAAATACTTGTCTACATATACAGAAAACTTGATGATTTTGAATATTTAAACAAGCAGTAGCAGGACAAATTCGATATTCTCAAACGTATATTTCGACATTATGATTTGGAAACGAAGACTTAAAGTATTAGTGACGCAAGTTTCGTAGAAAATCTGCACAGTATTTATCTGTGTACCTAGTTCGATGAGTAAATCTTGTCAGAATTATGTAACAAAATATTATGTATCGAATGTATTATTACAAATAGTTTCTTCAAATTAAGATTTGCTATTTGGAAATGGTCAGGTATTAATGACAGGGAAAGCGACCCGTTTGCCTATTCCTCACGTTGCAAAAATCTTTTCGAACCAGCCAAGTCCTGTCGCTCGCGTTTCTTTGTCAATAGAATATTACGCTTTGTCGTCGCCATAAAAGCTGTTGCAACGTCCCCATGGGTTGTTTGCATAATGATAATGTCCTTTTTTGCATGCAGATTTCATTTTCGAAAAAATCTTTACACCCAGTGCACACAAAGGAAGCTGGCCAGAATTTCATAATTGTTCGAATATTTTCATAATGGAAAGTTATTAAATTATTAATAGGTAATGAAACGAGTTAGGTAACGATAACAACAGTCTTGGAGTTAGTTTTCCGAGTAGCACAGATTGGACGATTTTTAAGATGCGTCATGTGAGTTACGAAAACATGATTACATGTGGTACACGTCCGGCAGATATTACGACAATTGTAAACCTGATCATGATCCTAACTTGATCGTACATACTATTTGTTGTCACGCCGAAGTAGTTTACCTTCAAATGTTACAACATACGTCTTTTCCTTCCGCGTATTCCGAAAAACGGTATTATACGTCACGTTTGTTTATCATTCAAGCCGATTTGAAATGATAATTTAACTCTTCTTTTTTCGAATTTAATTCTTCCAAGACAAATAATCCTCCATAATTTGTTATTTTGCGTGAATGACTGTGCAATGCGTATGTCGCGCCTGAATCAGATCTGCGGTTCGCTAGTATCTGAGCTTTTAATCGTAAGTGGTAAACCACTAATTCGAAAAACCACTACGATCGCAATGCGTCAATTACTTAACGTTTCCTTATAATCATTCACTTTTGTTCTAAATATATATCGAGGGCAGGCATTGTGAATTAAAATTAAATACACGATTCTCATGGATCTAATTATAACTCTAAGTGACTTGTGAAATGATGTAAATATTTATCAGAGTGCATATGGTTGTACTCTTTATTTTACACATTTTTCAGGTTTAACTGATATTTTAGTGAAACGTGAATGACATATGTAATATTGTATGAAACAAATCTGAAAGTGTGCATAAAGTTACAAAATATCTTCGGAAATCATTCATTTTAAAAGTACTTGTATGCATGGAAAGTTAATAGCATTAAACAGATGCCTTGAAGATATTTCAGTCAGTCACGAAACTCTTCGTATATTTCTACTAAAAGTCAAATATTTTACACGCACTTTGTTGTTCCTCATATTAATTAATTTCTTGTTCGTATTAATTCGTCCTTTCATCTCCGTAATAATGTTCGTACTGTTTAATCACAGTGCTAATTAAATTTTGTAGCTTTTTATGATCTACGCTCGAATTCCTTCTTAATTCAGTGTACATGTGATTTCAGGAATTCGAATAATTTTTATATTAGGACATTCTTTCGTTCTTTTCACGCTCTTATAGTTTCAAAAAATGGTTAATCATTTATTATAACAAACGAAATAACTGATCAGAAAATATTTCCTTTGACATCTGAACTTTTAGTCTACGTAACCCGAAGAACGTGTCATTTTCTTCCATACAAGAAAATTATTAAATTACCACCTTTTGCCTCGTTCCAATAGCTATAATTGCTCCATCACTGATAACATTTGCGTTGCCATAATAATTCACATCACTTTCATCCTGAAGCGTTCCTATCTATTCCTCAATTCACGAGTCAGTTAGTACAACCAGTCACCTGACCTCTTGTATAATTAAAATAATTTCTGAAGAACTATCGCACTCCACGATCATTTCATAATTTATATACAACTATATTTCATTATATGTTGGGTTTTAGTGAAGTGAAAAATAATAAATGTTTCTGTATGTTACAATAAATAAATCATAAGAGATTTTTGCTCCTCTTTATATTTGGAAATATTTTATATGGAATGTTTGGTTAAAGAATCGGTAACATCGCACAATACGTCGATTACTTAAGGAATAAGAATTTAATAATTAGTGCTTACTGTTGATAGGAAAAAGACTCGTTTACGTATGGCCCTGTATACGAAAGAAGTGAAATTAAAAAACGCCACGTTATGCAATCTACAATATGATCAATATTTGTTTCAAGAGTTTTAATTGACAAATTAACGTAATTATGATAGCTCTAAAAAATTGATTTTATATGTTTATTGGATGTTACGTCTTGTTTACAGAATAAGTGTAAAATCTTCATTAGCAAGAAATGTACCAGAACGAACTTTTTTGCTAAGAAAGATGTCATCTCACGACAATTAAATAGTTTTTCTGACGTACGTTTGAGTGAGTACGTAACTACGTACGTCATCCTTACTGAAATTAATGGAAAAGAAGAAGACACTGGTGTACTTGAAGTTCACAGCTTTGATTCGAAATAATTCAAACAATTGCATATAATTTCAGAAAATTAGATAATAAATCATGGCAACAATGGAAGAGATCCCTGACAGAGTAGCGGATACGTTCAAAGATCAGAATATCCTAATCACCGGTGGCACTGGTTTCCTAGGAAAAGTTATCATCGAGAAGTTCCTCAGATGTCTGCCGAACACTGGACAAATTTACATGTTGGTCAGGCCGAAAAAGGGCAAGGATCCAAAATATCGCTTAGAAGAAATCTTTAACTCGCCGGTAAGCAACACGCACTGCTATGTTAATCAGTTAAACAGGCGAACAATAAAACGCACAAGTGGAAAGAATGAATTTCTTTATGAAGACTGAACAATTTAAGGATGTATTGGCTATACAGCCAATCCCAAAAGTTTATGTACCTTAGAAAAACGCATTTCCTATAATTAAAAAGAAATCAGACGTCGGAAGAATAATGCTAATAATAAATAGCTACGTGCTAAAAAGTAGGAAATATCCAATTAAGTATTGACGCTGACGAAAATTTTTTTTTTCAAAATTGCGAAAAATGCTTCAAATACAAGTTGTTTTCCTTCTAACTTCGATATTTAATGAGTTACATATGATTATTTGGCATTTTATTGATGTTGACAAAATCCGACCATCCCAGCGTCGAAACGGCGAACTTTTGGAAAAAAATTTCGTTTTTCCTCAATAACTCCTAAACCCTTGGAGATACGGGAAAATTGCATAGGACCTTTCTTATAGAGGACGACGAGATCTACAATTTCTATATAAAAACTTTTCGCTAGCATTAATAGTTTATGAGTTATTAGCGAAAAACGAAAAAACAGTTTTTTGCAAATTACTCGTTAACTATTGACACTAGCGAAAAAAATTTACATGGAAATTGTAGATCTCGTCGTCCTCTACAAGAAAGGTTCTATACAATTTTCCCGTAAATTCAACGGTTTGGAAGTTATTGGCCAAAAACGAAAATTTGGAAGAAATTGAAGGGGTACCCCTTGGAAAAATCTCGGAAAAATCGAAAATTTTTTTTTGTTGTTTATTATCAGCAATGTTCTTCCTACGTCTGATTTCTTTTTAAAAAATGCATTTCTAAAGTGCATACACTTTTGGGATTGACTGTATAGCCAATACATCCTTAAACTACTACGATTGTTTTACGTTGTACACTCTAACTTATAGGATGTGTTACATAACTATGAAAAAATTGAATCACGCGAAAGATTTTTTTGTATGAACTGATTACCGAAGATTCCTTTCGACCTAACTATTTAATACTACAAATTCAACAGTTTTAAAGTCGAATCTTTGATCTTTCAGAAATATGAAATATTAAGTGTTCCACTTATTATTATAGCAGTTTTCCATGTGTCTTAGCGCGTATATCGTTGCAACACATTTCATAAAACACGTTTAGAGAAAGCGTAATTGTGTAAACATTAGGTAGATCGTATGATAACAGCACCTTGATTCGTGTACTCTGATTGAGACATCCTCTTTCACGAAAAAGAACTAGCCGTATGAAAGTAACTTGAATTTTGACGAATGATGACAAGTATATAAGAACCTACTCTTTCCAGATTAAGAGGATGTATTATTTAAACGTAGAGAATGTTACACAGACGAAACGCGGAGACGAAACATTCTAATATACGCAAATATTTTCGAGAAAGTTGGGATGACTAGCGGAACGTGTAAATCATGACGTTTAATTGTTCGTTCGTTGACCATTTGCATTACACCGCGTTACATAATGCGTACCAAACTATTCGCTGTTCCCAGAATCTTTATTCCTCTAAAAAAGAAAAAGCTTCTCAATAATTCTGAACAATCGTTCAAACATGATTTTACGATCTTTTGATGGACACGTACGTTAGTTAACGAATACACTTTGCAACAATATACCGAGCGTAAATCAAAGTGTCATATTCATTTGGTATGGAATGTGGAAAAACTTCATAACGTTGTAATGGATTACGTTAGTTATATTGCAGTTTTGAATATTACCATCATACGTCGTTAAATACAAAATTGACCAATACGAGAAATTTTTATACTTCACGTGTTAAAACTTGTAGCGCAATAGCAATGATTTTGCTGGCTTGATTTGATACAATTTTCTCGGGTTGAGATGAGATTCGCGATGAAAGCGTGATAAAAAAAGTCAGAGAAACTGAGTCAAGGCCTCGTGTACAGGGAAGAATGAGAAACGCTATTATCGTCATTATTATCAAGTGTCGTACACGGTGAAAGTTCTCGTTCCTCGTGAGGATCCGTTATGTCATATCTTTCGTACTTTATTAAACCCAAAAGTCTATCCTAACACGTACACCTGTTTCGTGTAATCGTCGAAGAATATTAGCTTTATGTCAGATTGGATTCTGATGAAATTTTTCTTATACGAGTACGAGATTGATCATTATGGAATATCATGATGAAATTGTTCTCACTGATAATTTATACAGAACTGATAATTCTTAACTCAATGTGTACTCTTCATCAATTGACATACATTTTTAATTGTTGCTTACAGTAAAACGTTTAATTTATTTTGGATTTGTAACTCAATTTCCAGCTGTTTGAAAAAGTTAAAAATCAGAGAGGAGTAGAGGCACTTAAAAAGTCCGTAACTATTGTAAACGGAGACGTGATGTTACCCGGACTTGGAATTTCTCCGCAAGATAGGAAGATGCTTTGTGAAAAAGTGAATATCGTGTATCACGCAGCTGCCACAGTACGGTAACTAACATAACATTGAATACAATACTAATTCTTCTGGAATTCGCGTTAAACTTAATCGTCCGATTTTCATAGATTCGACGAGTTATTGAAGAAAGCAGTACTGCTGAACACGCGGGGTACAAAGCAAATGTTGGAACTAGCCAAAGAGATGAAGCATTTGAAATTATTCGCTCACATCAGCACAGCGTATTGCCATCTCGAAGAAAAAGTGCTGTTACTTTCAAGCGCGTATACGTACAGTACTTTGTTCCAACATCATTTAATATTCATCTTGTCTTTTAGATCCTGAGAGAAAAACCGTATCCACCACCAGCTGACCCTCATAAAATAATTAAATGCGTAGAATGGATGGACGACAATGTCGTCGAAGCTATGACAGACAAAATCCTCGGAGGCTTTCCGAATACATACGCTTTTACCAAAGCTTTGTCGGAAGGTCTCGTTCAAGAAGTAATGTCAGAACTTCCAGCAATTATACTGAGGTACAAATTATTGGATACAACCATGTTTATGATGATAATAATATATTCTCATCACTTAAAATTTCATTAAGACCGAGCATAATAATACCTATATGGAAAGAACCAATACCGGGATGGACTGACAATCTCAATGGACCGACGGGACTCTTAATTGGAGCTGGCAAAGGTGTAATTCGAACAATGTATTGCAATGAATCTAGCTATGCCGACTATGCCCCTGTCGATATTGTGGTGAACGTAATTCTTACCAGCTCCTGGAACTTTATTTATTGTAAGGACCACGAGAAAAGGTTTTACAACGTTACAAGTAGCTCCGAGTTCAAGGTGAATTATGAAAGTTCTTTTACACTAGAACTCAAAAATTTGGGGCCATTTATTTAAGAAGAAAAGAAGACAGGAGATCGTGATCAAAAGCAGTCACAATAGATTATACAACTTACGCTTAACCGAGCAAATTATTAACGTTTTAGGTATCATGGGCAGAAATTATAGCTAGAGGTCGAAGAATAACGGAAAAGGTGCCACTTAATGGGGTCGTTTGGTACCCAGGTGGAAGCATGAAGAAATCAAGGCTGATGCATAATATATGCGTTCTATTGTTCCATATGATACCGGCTTACCTCATAGACGCTCTTATATTCCTTGCAGGCTACAAACCAATGTATGTACATTTTTGGTATTTTGCTAATAAGTTAATAGCAAATCGTTTTCAATAAAAATTTCGTATCGTAAAGTATGTGCAGAGTGCAACGTAGGATACTAAAAGGTTTCGAAGTGTTTGAGTATTATGCGAACAATCAATGGGATTTTGATAACGCGAATATGTATGATATACGAGCAAAACTGAATCCAGTGGAATATAAAATTTACCAAGTACATGGAGATGATATGGACATAGACGCGTATTTCGAATCATGTATACGATCAGCAAGGATTTACGTTCTAAACGAACCGCCAGAAACTCTGCCAGCTGCTCGAAGACACTTAAGAATGTGAGAATTTATTTCAATTTTATTTCTATTGCAGAATTGATTTTGAAAAAAATACCTAATTCTTTTCCTAATAAATATTATAGAATGTACTGGGTAGATGTCATTACGAAAATACTTTTCGTCGGATTACTAATATACATCCTAGCATCCTGGAGCGATAGTTTCAGAGCGCTATTGATAGGAGGTTGGACGCTTGCTGCAAAAACTTTAGCACGTTAACTACCTATTGCTTAATTCCTAATATGTTCAGTACCTTGTAGTAATTATAATCATTGTAGTACGACCAAATGGACTACGAACTTCTAACTTGTCAATTATTGACAAGTTATCGGTAAGACACGTTGTATTATAAAATTATGTTTTCAATAATAAAACTGATAAAATCGAATTCCGTTAAATTATTTCATGCTTTTTATCTGATTTTCACATACATTCATACATACGTACGTATCATCCATTTCTATAAAAAAAGCACTCGAGCCTCATTGCTTTCAATGGGACCAGACTTGTACCTTCTCTATGAAAATGAACGGTACTTTCCACATACTCTTGGGAAAGAGTAAGCAGGTTGAATAAAAAGAATGAAATAGAAGCGTTAGTCGCACTTTAACGTGGTTTTTTATTTAAATTTTAATATATAAATATAAAATTTACTCTCTTACACTTAAACAGACTCTTGGACAGGTGGTTCATAGCCCTCTGGTCTGTCAACCTTCGAACCACTTTCACCTGCTTCCTCACTCTTACTGCCCGCCCCGTCTCCGTGGAGCTCCAGTAATTTACTTAATTCGAAGCGTGGTTTTTTTAAAACCTTCACCTGTAACATTCGTAACGCATTCGTTACTTACGTTTAAGCACATAACAAATATTAACAACAGAACAATAATAATTTACATACCTTCCGGATATATACATCATGGAGTGGGTAAATTCCGAGCGATGCTTTCTCAATGTCTTTGGCCGTAGCATCTGGCAGGAGTTTACTGACGACACCTCTCAAATCACTTTTTGTGACGTCATTGATGATGGTGTCTACCATCTTTTGTCTGATTCTCTTGACCTAAACAAACAAAATACGGTTCGACCACCTTCTTGTTGCATACTTGAAAAATGTCGCGACATCTTATATCACTATTTTCTAATCCAAAAATAGTGTGGTAAGCGAGTGCATTTGCTATATGCAACCTCTTCATACACGAAAATAAGTTCACGATTTTCGTGCATATTTAGTTGCATTTATCAAAAGATAGAGATTCACTGGAGAAATGTACCTGTGAATGCTGAGCATAACACGTTTTCCTGGTGCTCATCTGGTCTTTATTAGTGAACCCAATGCAAAAAACTCTGAGAAGGTACCCATCTGTAGTTTTTACATCTACACTAGCTTCTATCAGAGTCTGCCATTTCTTAACCATGGATCTCAGTTTGTCCGTGGTGAGGTCCATGCCATGGAAATTGGTCAAGACATTACGATGTTGAACATCTTCGGCGATTAACCTAAATTTACGGAAAGACCTTTCCGCACCTCCATCATTCTGCAAATCTGCTAGGGAGACCTCGAATACTCTGTATTTCAGACCCTCAGAAGCAATTTCTATAAAATGAATGGAAAAATTATAAGTTAATTAACAGAAATCTGCATTGTTCAGTGGAAATGTGTAGCAGAAGAAAATTTTAGCATTATTATAAGTAGAATAATACTATGGTAAGTATCTGCTTTTCTCTATGCAACATAAAACGCCATATAAAGTATGAATAAAACTTTTATGGAGCTGGAGCTGCAAAGTTCTTTTAAATAAGTAACTTACTTGTTCCCTGAGTTCTATTCACCAACGTTTTTCCAACCTGACGATTGGTAAACATAGATGGTGCCTTGACATCGTACCAATCCTTACGAGTGAAAGGATCGACGCTGCAATTGATAACAAAAATTAAGTTAGAGCTCCGATAGTATAAATCTCTTTCATTTTCGTTATTATTTCAGTTATAAGTTATTCAATAGCAATCACTTATGAACTTGCTTTATAAGACGTATTTTGAATCACATTGATCTACTAATCCACACAAGATTAACATAGCAAACATGATTCAATATGGAAAAACACTCAGTAATGATTACAAGCATTAATCTGCAGTAAACCTTTAAAAAACCAAAATATATTTCATAGGAAGAAGTATGAATAAAAGCAATAGACTAACATGGAATGTATGCAAACATTCGATTGTCGATCTCGAATCTCGACAAAATCTATTTCAATAAAACGCATCTTTGACGATGCGAAAAAGCATATTACACATGTTACACAAGCGATGCTTAAAGTATTTCGAGGTAACGTTATAATTTACCTACATCTTTTTCTTCATACCCTTTTTGCCTCCTTTCGACAGCCCCTTATTTTTACCCACCGCCATGGTGAACGTTACACACAAAAAGAAGCTCGCGCTCAAGCTCAAGCCTCGTCAAGCCGCTCAAGCGGAAACCGGAAACCGGCATCTATCGGATCGTCGATATATACGTGAACAACATTGGCTGATACGCTACCACTCCATTCGTATTTTTAAAACAATTTTGTTCATATGTACAAAAATCTTTTATTATTTAACATTAAATTTACCAACAGCATGAAACAATATGGAAATACTTCGTATAAATGAACGTATAATTCTAATAACATTAAGAGAAGATGAAAGTATACTTTTCATTCAGTAATCGCCATACGTATATTAAACAGTATAAAAATCTTTGAATATAGATATTATCTTAATTCTTACAATAGAAGAAAATATGAAATACATTACCTACGATCAAATGTATTTTATTTATGATAATTTTCAAATTTGTTTAGATAAGTACGAAGTTCTCTGCTATTCTGTTAGCGTTTGAGTTTACACTTGACGTATCGAATGTCGACAGCTGTTGGCCTTCGGCTAATTTCAGTGCAATTCGAATTTTCGCATGTAAGACATAGAACGGGTAGGTAGGTAGGATTTATTTTTTCTTCGAGCGCAAATGCAGACATCACCACCGTTCGTGTTCTTCCGCGATAAGTTGTGCGGTAAATAAAACGATTTCCAGTGGAATGAATGTACACGCGTTGATCGTAGACAGGATTTCGTATCGACTCTAGCTGGCCTATCAAATATTCTGATAATCATGAATCTGCAAACACTGTTCCAGGATTTCAATCCAAGGTAAAGAATCTTGTCTCACAGAGATTTAAAAATAATTATTGTTTTAATCCATGAAGTACAAATATCAGTTTCCATTGCACGACGCAACATTACGAATACCCATGTATGCGAACCACAAAGGATTAACACATGTCTTTGTTATGTGGGAAAATTTATTGTTCAATTTCATGATGTCTGTAAATGATTGTTATTCTGAATATTACACAATTCGATTTATGGTTGATTCATTTTTTGCTTGAATCGAACGTCTATTGATAGCTTCAATCTTGATCTGGGATATGCTCTCTAATAATTGGGTCAGCTGTTTATTTTAAACAAATTTTCGCCGCTTTATTCGGCACGATTTTGCAGTGTTGCAAGGTTGATGACCTTTATAAATTTTCCTATCGATGATAAGCACTTCTTCACGAGCGAAAAAATAATGTCTTATGGTTATATAAGTTAATGAGCTTTAAGATAACAAAAATGATTAATAAAAATTATTTGTAAAATTTACAGCACAGTTAACATATGAAAACTGATGAATTATATTTGTTCTTCGTTTAAAGTCCTCATAAAATTAATACTTTTCTGGAATAAGTCTGACAAATGCAATAAAAGAATTCTAATACAATGCTAATTATTTTTCATCTCTACTTTTAGTAAATTTTTGGTACACACCTGTCTGATGATATTTACAACCCTGTTTGCACTTCGTTTGGATGGATTCATAGAATGGAGTTATTGGACTGTATTTATGCCAATATGGTTCTGGAAGAGTATGGTAATTTTGGGTGCTACCATTGGAAGTTACGTTTGGTGGAGACATCCACATGCAAGGTTGGAAGGGGATGCCTATGTACATTATAAAGCAATGTTGATTACATTGGCATTACACTTGATCCTGTTAATGTTTGAACTGTTAGTATGTGATAAATTAGAGTCTGAAAGACACCTCTGGATACTAGTATTTATACCACTTATCTTCATCTCTATAGTGTCAATAGCTGTGAGTAATTGTCAGATTCTACCTAAGATCGATGTAAGCCAAGTTTATAAGAAACACTTAAATATCTTTATCGCTTTAGGTGTGCATATGGGCTGCGAAACACGACCGATCTTTCGAGCTCGAATTATTTTGTGCAGTCAACGTGCTACAGTTCATTTTCCTAGCATTAAGACTAGACGGTTTTATAATGTGGAGCTGGGAAGTAGTGTTTGCTCCCCTCTGGGCACTTTTATCCTTATCTCTAGTTGCAGTTCTATATGCAATAGTATTTGCAGCTGTTTTATTGAGAACTCCACAGATCAATGCCAGACAGAGGCGGACATCGTTGAACTCTGCACTGGCATACACATTTCTCGTAGTTCCAATCCTAGTGTTTCAAGTAAGAATCGAAAATGAGTTTAAATATTTCAAGTACAGTTAATGAATAATTTTTAATACTATATTTTAATTCAGGTACTATTAGCAAATAAATTGGATGAAGTTATCTCATTGAATTATACTATAATAGCAACGCCACTTTTAGTATCTCATATTACACTTATTTTTATGTCTTTTGACGCGAAAGGAGGAAACAGATGTAAGAGAATAATCACGTTTTATCAATAACGTTACTGGTTTATACATTGCTAAATATTTTGTTCTCAATTCTAGGGTGGTTCGGTATTAGGAAAGATTTTTGTCACTTTTTACTTGGTTTGTGCCCGCTGCTACAAGAATACGGTAACATTTCTTACCAACCGAGAAGCGAGCATGACCAACCACCGTCGGAACCAATGGTTTCAGAGAAGAACGAGAAACACGTTAAGAAAATCGACCTAATGAAACCCGTTGTACCCATCATTTCGATCGACATGCCAGATTGATTGTGTTGCTTAGGTACGAATAAATGCAATAGCAAGCAAATAATTATAATACATAAAATGATCATCAATTTAAAAAGAAACTTCATTACACAGGATCGATTTGGGTAATTAATGGGTTTTTATCGATATGACTGGTTTATACCGAGAGCCATATCTTAACGAGTAACGGACAGGTGCGTAAAAAATAGTGAAATCTGTTACAAAGGAAAAAATCAAGAGATGTTATTTTCAGTACGATGCGTCGTAATGAAAATCTTGTTATTGTTAAGTATATTGTGCGCCAAGGCAATCATAATAATTATATTACCCTTTTTTCGTTCCTGGGGCTTAAGCTTCTCACGACGAGCCGTGAAAATTTTTGTAGAAAATGTCTCGGCAGGGTTTTAAAATAAGTAACGAGAAATAGTGATCGCGTCTCTACGAAATGATCCCTATAGTAAATTTAGTGGTCGCAGTGCTCAAGAAAAGAAAAAAATAAAAAAAAAGATAATATGTCTCTTAAAGCTGCATCGATTATCGGCGTGTCCAAAACACTTAAAGTACGCGTAGAATAAGCAACTGACCCGTCCATTTATTTGATGACTCCTTAGAGATAGATAGTTACCGACCTATTCTGTTAAGTCTATTATTCATTACGTAATGATAGAATTATTATTACTTTGCCAAAAGTAGCGCATATAAAAACGTATGGTGAACATGCCTAAGCTGGTGCTAAGAAAATATAACGATATTTTAGACATGTTTATGAACTGCGTTTAAGAGATGGACCTTCCGCATATTAATCATGATTCGTACAGAGGCAAGCTTAATTTACAACATGATCCCATATACATATTTTAAACAGATTTACCTGCAGAATGTTATAAATACGAATACAAAGCTTCTTGCCAGGCAGAATCGTTAATGTAAATAGTATCTACTTCCCGTTTTAGAGTACACTAGCCCTGTACAGATCATGCCTGAAAAATGATTGCGTGACAAATTGATCCAGATTGAATAAAAAGAAAATTTGTATGTTTCTATACAGATACGAAAGGTACACTGTATGAAACGTGTCAACGCTACGAACAGTACAAATAATTATACCACTTTATATTTTATGTTTTATTTGGAAAATTCCATTTATACTTTACTTACCAATGTAACGCAAATGTACTGTTCTAGTAAGTTCAATGAGATCACAGCAATTAACGAGTAAACAATTGTTGAAAGAGCGACAAAAATAAAATTAATCGCGTGTTTTATTTTTATTTTCGTTTAAACGTTTTACGTATTTCCGAGCCCTTTTATCCGATAGTTTCTACTTTAATAGGAAATTTTAAATCTACATTTGTAACGAGATACTGGATGATCAAGAGGGAAAGCCATACATTTACATTAGAATAATTTTTCTACGTGTTCCTAAGGTCTTTGCAATACTTCTCATTATAATATTTATATTAATATATAGATTTATCTAGGTATAGTCGTTTTAATATGTACGCGATGAACGTGTTCAAAGGGCTCTGTTACTTTAAGCATTGAATTAAATTTTTGTGTACGCTTACTACTCGTCAGTTGCTTAATAACAAATATATAATTAATACATTTTGTAATCGATTACATGACAAACACTGTATTGTTACTCGTCGAGCAATTTCATTTCTAAAATACACATATAAAACGAAAAATAAGATCGCTGATCCCTTTCGATAAAAACGGATAATATTACGATGTTTATAAAAGTCTAACGATATTTGTTCGATATGATATACGCGCGACACAGATTATCTTTTACAATTAATTCACGGTGGACGCAGCTAAAATACGTACATTATTCGAACATCAAGTTTTTAAACGGCCTTGACGAGAACGAGAGATTGGATATATCGGCTGGGATACAAGACTGAGCGCCTCGCATCTTTAGAGTAGCATCGGCAAGATGTAAAAACGAAAAATAAAATGCATAATAACCGCATAAATTGAGCAAACGGAAAGATGGTTTAACGCTAAGGACATTAATTGTTAACGTTATTAGATATTGTAATTACTAAGTATACCCAATCATTTATTGTATTATAATGTAGAAATAATGTACATACTTTGTTGTATTAACAATAACATTATAGACTATAATAATTATTGTATATTATACATATCTATCATGAGCGACGATCGATGATTAAGTAGTATGGTATCATTTTATTTTATATACACCACATGCAAGAAGTACCATTATAATCTAATAAAGTTTATATTTTTGGTATTAACAGACACGAGCAATTTTTACAATACGACGGTTTCTTTTCNTGCAATGGGTTAAACAATTACTGCCACTTAATAAAAATTTTCTCGATATGATTTCTCGGGATAAAAAATTTTAAATATCGCTTCGTACACGCCCACGATTTCATCTATATTGAATTTATACTTATTAAATAGTTATAATATTATTGTAGTACATACGTGATTTCGCAATCACCCAAACCGAGAGCGCTTAAACGTGGGCATCCTTGAACGATAGAGAGTAACGCACGATCGATCGGACCGGGTCCATAGGCTGCGATCACCAGCTCGACCAGCCGCGGGCACTGGCATCCGACGCATAACATAGTCGCTTCCGATGGTGCTTCTCCGAAATACAAGTGCGTCACAGGAACGTACGGCGCGAACAGCAGACTTTGATCGTCTTCATTTGTCATATAAGACAATCTAATTTTATTGTAAAAAACGTTATATTACACGATAAGCTGATAATGCATATACTATTTTTCTACTTGTAACCATTAATTGACCCAACCAACAGATACAAATAGGTGTCACTGAACCGGTGAATTGATATTAAAAAATATGGATCTTCATTCAAAGGTTTAATTTCGAATAAATAATCGATGATATTATGCGTTCGTTTATTTTATACTGTAATTTTTTGTATAACACGCAAAAGAGGATCGAGATAGTGAGAAAAAAGCGCGGATAATTAATGTGCACTCACAGCACAAGATTTATGTTCGGCAAATGACTGGAAAACGTAAACCAAGCCTTGTCGCTGACACGCGGAAACGGTTTCGTATCTGGATGCACTTCCAATCGTAAGGTTTCCAATTGCACTTGTTTTTCGGAGCTCAGGGCTAGTAGCAACTCGTCGCTAAGCAATGAATAAGAGAGCGATAATTCTTGCAGGTATTGACAGTAACTGACCAATGCCTGGATCCCTGTAAAAGTTTGTTATTTACGATATGATCTATTGTATAATTGCATTGTTACTTGCCATAAAATGACTACGTCTGTTCTCTTAAAGAGATATTATAGACTATAATAATTATTGTATATTATACATATCTATCATGAGCGACGATCGATGATTAAGTAGTATGGTATCATTTTATTTTATATACACCACATGCAAGAAGTACCATTATAATCTAATAAAGTTTATATTTTTGGTATTAACAGACACGAGCAATTTTTACAATACGACGGTTTCTTTTCTCGCTCTGTTCTCTTTTTACGTACACGGATCAGATCTGACTCAGTCAGTGATGTAGAATGATTCACGTGACTACAAATGTTTCTGGTGCTCTTCTTGTAATAAATATTACGATCTCTTTTTAGCAATACGAAATATATGACGAATGAATATTTTTCACTTAGGAATCGCATGTTAAATTAATGTTTCCTTCTTTTGTAAACAGTAATCTCCCGACATTATTAGAAATCTACAACGTGTACAGTATACATACATATGTATGCCTACGCTAGAAATTATACCATTTTTTTACGTATTTAGCTGTTTCTTTCATGTAAAAAATAGAAAAGGATAT